TAGAATTGTGTCGATGTCCCAATATTTCTGGACCTGACTGTATATGGGAGGGAGGGTTGCTAAGTGTTTTCTGTTTAAACTGATACAAACAGAAAAATCAGGGATACTACTTGAAACTCAGTGCGATCATAATCTGACAAAGTGTATGTCCACCTTTGAATGTCCAAGAAGCTTTTCCCATTGGTTGTTCCCATTGTGCTTCACTGGAATCTGCTTTTGAAACTTAACTGTGGGGTTATCACTGATGAGAGGGAAGTAGCAGAAGCTGTAGTTTGCTGCAATCCAGGTGGCTTGAAATTGCGCAGTCAAGCCTAGCCAACTGTGATGGGTTACTGCTTTTGATTGACACTATCAGCTGCTCTACTTGTTCCAAGAATTCCTGGATATTTGAGCTGTTACTTTTGGCTGACATTCACAGGGCAGTGTTTACCAGTGGTGCTGACACCTGATTTAAATAAAAACTTAGATGATCAAATTTGTTTCAGCAGCTTAAGTCTGCTTGCTTTGTTTTTAGGCAGTAAACATATATTTCATAGTGCAGTGTCTTAGAAGAAACATATTCTTCTAATATGGTGCCTGTCATTTCAGTTTTTATGAACACATTAAATAATAATTAACTTTTAAAGTATCTAATGTTGGGTGTGCTTGTTTAATTGAATTTGACAGTTTATTTAAATATGATGCCCACTAAATATGTAGTTCCCAGAATTCTCAGCACAGCCAACAGCTGGGACTTGTTCCTGTTGTGAGTGACCAGGTGGTAGATCTTCTGGGGGTGCTGTTTTCTCCTCCTCTTGATCTTCTGCCAACCATTTTTATTTTTTAACCTTTTAAATTTTATAATAGAACAGCAAGTGTCCAGAGGGAACAAAGCCCATGCTGATATTTGCAGGTGATGCTTTTGACATTGATGAGGAACATAGAAGATTAAAAAGCCTTCTAATTGGTAAGTCATTTGAGTTAACATGGTTGTGTCATTGAGCAGTGTTTCTTAAACTTCTTGCTTTTAGGACCCCTTCCCACTTTTAAAAATTATGGAGGGCTCAAAAAGAGCATTTATCCATATGGGTTATATTTATTTATATTTACCATATGTAAAATTAAAGTTGATGCATTTGTAGAATATTTATTGAATCATGTAAAAATAACAATATTAATCCCATTTGATGTTAACATAAAATATTTTTCTTGGAAAAAAACCTATATTTTTAAAACATATTAAAAACATAATTAGAAGAGTTACATTGTTTTAAATGTTTGCAAATATCTTTAATATCTAGCAAATAATTTTGATTTCATGAACCACTGAGAGGGTCTTGGAGAACCCCCAGGGGTTCTTGGACCACACTTTAAGAAATGCTGTCACAGAGTATTGTGGAAGCTGTTGAGCATTTGTGTCATAGAGTACTCTGGGAGCTATTGCAGTAGTGAATCTTGTTGGTCTTTGAGATTTAACTATTTCCTAATAATACTAAAATAAGAAAAAGCCACTTGGAGGTATGTTACTTGTGTCAGATCAGTAATTGTGATATTTTTATTAGACCCTTATTTTTCATTACATGCTTAATTTTTTCTTCAGAACATATGTGTGTGTGGGTTTCCTTGCTGTGGGCTAGGTGGATGACATTTTGGCATAAGATAACAAAGTTAATTTGCTGACAGAAATAAATGTGATCTAAAATAATGACCAGATCTGGGAACATCAGAAAATTTCACATGTCATTGAGGTGAAGTTAGGATGGACTTCGTAATCTGGTTGGGAGATTACTAGGAGCCCTGTGCTGGTGCGGGATCAACAGATAATAGAAAAGAATCAAGCATGTATGTAATAAGATGCAGTATTGTAAGCTTTTCAGAACACACTGAAAGCCAAACCGTGTTAGTATTGTGTACTCCCCTAGCTGTGATATTGTAGGATGGGACTGGACGATCAGAGAGTTGATAACTAATATCTCCCACTGGGTCTTCTGTCCTCCCACAAGCTGGGCAATTATTGGAACAAAAAGCTTGTGTCTGTATCCCTTTACACAGACAGGGAATTTCAGTGTTGTCCCATTGGTGCCTGTAAACTATAGATGTAGAACTTCAATAAACTCAAGCCTTTTGCTCCCTTTCTCCACTACAGGTGGTCCTCATTTAACAACCACTTGCTCAGCAATTGTTCAAACTTGTGATGGTGTTGAACAAGTAGTATTTATTTATTTATTTATTTATTTATTTTTATTTTCAAATTTATATATGCCACCCATCTCACTGTACAAGTGACTGCAGGCAGTGGTACAAGTAAAACACTATAATATCTTAGAAAAAAATATACAAGTTAAAAACTACAAAAGGTTAAAATTAAAACTAAAAAGTTAGAACTATAAACTTCAAGTAGCTCTTGGTAGAGTTTTACAGGGGAATCATTGAGTCTGTTATCTGTTCCTCTATAACTGTCTGGTTTGACTC